AGGACATGTAAGTCAATTATATTGTATCTTATTGCTGAGGATGACTCCAAAGAGAGTCGAAACGTCCAAATACAGAAGATTTTAAGCTAACATCTGAGTATGGTTTTCACCTATCTTTGCGCCGTTCAACGTTGCTTGACTCTCATTAGCCTAATTTAGTCATACTTTTAATTTGTTGAATTTGAGAGTCCGAATACAATTATTAATCAAAGAATAATTATAGCTGGAAATTCGACGCCATTCGCGACTCATGTCTAGCGACGACCATTGCTGCTTTTTATAAACAACGCGTGACTAGCGACGGCGAGCGAGCACGGCGCGCCTCGCTGGGCGGTCCTATCGAGCCGCGCGCTTGGATTTGGCGGTGGGCCGGGCGAATTTGGATATTTTTATAAATAAATATCTCATTAACTATTGCGAAAATTGAAAAATGGTAGAAGACGTTCCGTCTCAGTTTAATCCGCTCTACCTGTCCATAATATTTGTCAGGAGAGTTATGGGACACCCTGTATATACAGGGTGTCCCATTTTAAATAACGTATAGGAATATCTCGGATGGTAAGCATTTTGGAAGAAATTTGTTTATACAAAGTTGTAGGGTACAGACAAGGCTAACTTATAGTGACCTTGACCTTGACCTTGACGATGACCTTCAAGGTCATTTCAATATCGAGTCAATTTTTTCAAATGGAACCCCTTATTTTTTAATCCGGAAGTGGAAAGAGCGGAAGATTTTACGTCCGAATATGACCTTGACCTTGACCTTCATCGCTACCTTCAAGGTCATTTTAATATCAAGTCGATTTTTTTAATGGAACCTCTCAATTTTTACCACGGAAATGGAAAGAGGAAGATTTCACGTCCGCATGTGACCTTGACATTGACCTTGACCTCGACCTTCAAGATCACTTTAAGGTCAAGTCGATTTTTTTTTTAACGGAACCCCTTATTTTTTACCCCGGAAGTGGAAAGCGCGGAAGATTTTACGTACAAATTTTGAACGATTTCGGTAATTTAATATAAACGGAAATAAGTCCTCGTTGATTGTGGCAGGATCACCCTACTTACTATCCCACCTCTCCTCTTTTAATTTTCCTCAACCAATCTCAAACTTTTCGCTCTTCATTAACCAGGAGTGGCAGCTCACATCCTTCTTGTAGTAATTGTCTCAAGATATGTAAGTTTTGTGGCAACGAATAGAAGTAAATTCTAAGCGATACCAACAATTAACATGAATATTAATATACATACTGAAGAGAAAATATGAACATAACCACTCACCCGCAAACTCATGATGATTTTAATGGATTAAGCTGATTGGAATGATTTTAATAGATTAAGCTGACATGTGTATGTAATTTATAAACGATCATCAATCATCATGAGTTTGCGGGTGAGTGGTTATGTTCATATTTTCTCTTCAATAAGTACATTAATACTCATGTTAATTGTTGGTATCCCTTTTTTAATTAAATTTTAAATTACGCTTGGCTGAAACAAGATGCGTTATTGTAATTATTTCTATTTGAATGGTTTTTTTAAATTTATTTGTGTAACGTTCGGAATGACACCAGT